TCAGTGCTCAACCATTGGCTTTTCTTGCAGCCCATCCCTTTCTTTTGTCTATACAAGACCTATTTGGATTGGAACCTCCTGGGAAACCAAGTACCTTGGCCAAGATTTTTAAAAAGTGATTAGCAAATTTGGGTTCTGATCCTCAGAGGGCGGTGCTCTATGGAGCACGTAGCACACAATTAGTATTATCAGAGTAAAAAGGAGTCCAAATTATGCTCTCATTTCAATAAAGGGATTCTGTTACCTAAACAAGGCACTTGAAAATCCCATGTTTTTCCTCTATGCATTTCCCACTGAGTAACTTTTGAGCATTATAAGTCTCCAGGTGAATGGGAGGATCTGATCAGCAAGCACTGAAATTTCTATGGTGCGTACACAGCAATGACACGATAGTTAATTTTTTCATGGTTTCTAAGCCGCTCTTCAGTATGTCAGTCTCAGTTTCCAATAGTTGCAGTTACTCGCAGGACAAAGCAAGCAATGAAGGCATTAATATTAATTCAACTCACTGAGACAAAAAGGGTTTTGAAAACTGTTGGGCTTTTTCTTGCATGAAAGGCTGAAGACAGGGTAAAAAAAGTGAAGTGAAAACCTGAGTGCAATCATACATCCCCAGCCTGAAACATGCACAGGTTTCCTTGCTTCTGCAAAGGGAACAGTGATGTCAACCCCTTGTGGGCTTTGCCTATTCTCCTTCCACAAGTTGCTCTGTGAATCTAATATCCATGGGGAAAAGATTGGACAGGGCAGGGGAAAGAATAAACTGTTCAGATGCATTTATCACTCTCAGCCCTTGGGGAGCCCTAAAAAAGATGTCAGGTGAGGGAAACAGTCTCTGCAAAGGGATATTTGAAGACTTCCTTCAGAACAGCCATGAGCCATGGGCTTTTCCCTGCATTTTACAAGTAAGACAAGATCATTTTAGATCAAGGTCTGAAGCTGCACTTAAAAACTATGATTGATCAAAGGTGTACCCCATACATGACCAGCTTTGCCAGGAGACAAGGAGAACTGTCTCTCCCTAAAAAGAGTCAGCAGCTTTTTAAGCTCCTTCTCAATTTGAGCTCCTTCTCAAATTTTGCTCAGCAATCTTATTCCCTCTCCCTCTACTCCTCAGCACCCTGCTCTTTGATATAAGGGTGCCAAAAAAATATTTGGGAAAACTACATAACCAGTGTGGGATAATCAGCTTTAACAAGCAGCTTAACTTCAGACAGTTCAGGCCCATTGAGTCTAAACCCATGTAGTTTTTGATTTTGCGCACTCTCTTCAGTCACCAAAACTATTACTGATTTATTCAGAGCTATGTAAGTTAAAATAATTCAGTCAGAAAAAATAGAAAGAAGCAGTCAAAAGAAAAAAAAAACAGACATACACAGTAGGTCAAATGGCCTAAGGGAAATATTTAATTTAAGAGTCATACTATTTCTACCAAGTTTCCCAACCAAAAATATTTTCATCAGGAGCACTACTCTTGATCTGGTTACTGCTAATGATTTTCCCCATAGACTTAGCTCATAAAAACATAAATTGCTTTATGAATCATAGAATCATAGAAGTTGGAGAAGAAAATGATGGCTTAGGTCATCTTGCCCTTCTGCCTCCCAGTGCAGTATTACTTCTTTTTATGAAAAAATTGAAAATAAGCATTTATTTTAAGCTGGAGAATGAAAATAACAAGTTCAAAAGAGATTTTAGAAATAAATAATGAAAGCAGTGGAGGAAGAGCCAGATTCCTAAGTACCTTGGCTCCCTCTGCAAACCATGACAATCTGATGAGAAGTATTGTCTGGATAGGCACAGTGAGAAATTCAATGGCAAAAAAGACAATGGTGTAACTAATGCACACAAGTAATTAGCACAGTTGTAAATGCGAATCTGGTAGTTACATATGCAAATATGTTGTTAGACAAATAACTTCTCATTACAGTAACTGTGATCAAACGTACAATGCAACATGCAAGAATCTGAAGTCCGAAAAGCTACATAGTCAGGCCTCTGTGCAGAAAGTGAAGGCGGATGCATGTGGTAGTACACACCACATTACCTTCACACATCGTGACATCTCCACACATCACTGCAAGCCACAAAGTCTGTGCTTTGGCTTTTGGAGCCTTCAGTTGGGGTATTTTTCTATTCTCCAAAAATGACTTCAAATCCTGCTTTGTATTTTTATTTCAAGTTTTTTCACCACGTGCGCACAGCTAAAGAGCCTGTCCTTTTTCATTATAAAACCTGATTTTTGAATCCTTGCTACTTTGGCTCAGAAACTGCACTTGATTTGATATTCTCTGAAGACAAAAGAGGATGTTTCTGTTATTTCCTAAGATGCCGCAAAAATAGCATCTTACCTTCTAGTATTTTTCACAGAGAATGTAGGCACTGGCTAGAACTCAGACTATCTGAGAACTGTTAAAAATATAAAGTAAATGAATCAGAATTTTTTGCTGCAGTTGGTTTTGGACTTAAGCATGCTGTTCTAGATTTCTGTAAGAGACCAGTAACTAATTTTGTTCCCATTACTGTCTTCCACAGATTTCTTTCAAATCGGGATATCTTAGAAAATACATCTCAGTATTTCTGTAATTCTTTTAGCTCAAGAGAGAGAGTCTCATGGATCTCTAAACATGAAAAGTCCCAAATATTGATTACTGAAACTAGAAACACTTCTTTAACCTAGCAGTTTTTATTTTGATTCTAATCTGAATACAAGCAGGCTGGTACCATTTTAAATCCCTTCAGTATAGCACATGCATGTACTGATATGTCTAACCGCAAATGCTGTATATGAGTTTGTGCAGGTAACAGCCGTGCAATCTATTTTTCTACAGGCTACAAATGTAACTGATCTAATTGGACCAATGCAAAATAGGATACACGCACCGCGCAAGAGTACAGAAAAACAATGTATAGCTCAAACCAGCTAGAACTGTCTCAGTGCTGTGAGAGTTGTTCAGAGAGAATTCTTAGTCTAATTATTAGAAATTGGAGACATGATGCTGGTTAGGAAAACTGAGCTGTGGTGAGGATTGTACTGTCCACAGGAGTAACAAAGAGTGGAGAACGTACCGCTTCTTTCCCCCTTCATAGCCTGTCTTGAAGCCAATTTATATTTCAATCAGATGAATAAAGTGGACTGCAGATACCAGGCTGATATAACAGTTGTTGCAATTCAGAAACCCTTGGTGAGAAACCAAAGAAAAGGACTCTGCAGCCAACTTACAAATGAAAGGAGTATAATCCACTCTATGTTACGCCACAAATGACTTAGCGATAAAAAGAGCTGTGCATTCC